ATGAGGGACGGGCTGGGGCCAGCAGTGTCGCAGTGAGCGAGGGGGGAGCGAGCGGGAGCCACTGGGACCCGGAGAGCACGAGCAGGTCCCCAGAGGTTGAAGATCCAAGCTTCCCAAGTCAGGTCTGCCCGCGGCCCCGGGGGCTGGGGCCGGGACCGGGAGGGCGCCGAGGGGGTGGTCGGCAGACGGGCGGAGCAGCGCCAGGACCTCCGCGGGTCGCGGCGGTGTGGGAAGCACTGCTAGGCGACGGCTCCGAGCGGTAGCGGGAAAGGTTTGTCTGCCAAGTAGGTGTTGGATCCGCCAGCCTAGGGGCCCGGTCCCCCACCGTCCCCGCCCGGCCCGGGCTGCGCGCGCCAAGGATCTTCGGGGCGACGCGCACGGTGTCGCGTCGCGCGCCGGGTCCCTGCGCACCACGTGCGCCCACTGCCCCAGGCGAGGCCGCTCGGGCGAGCGCCCCCCAAGGGAAAGGGCTACGCAGCCAAATTCGCTTTCTGCTTTGTCCCAGCTTGCACTTCCGTGCCCGGGGCAGAACGGAGTGGCCCAGCCCAAATTCTCCCTATGCCCGGGGCAGCAAGCGCGGTGCGCCCGCCGGGGCGCGAGGTCGCCGCAGCCCCGTGCACATGCGGCCTGGCATCGCGCTGTTCCTCCCGCGCTCTGTGGGAAGGTGTCATCTAGTTGTGTCACCCAAGTGCAGTGCAGCGCACCTCTTCCCCTGCGCTTTGGAGTCCAGGGCATTTTGAAGGGAAATCTTAAACCACCTTTCGCCTAAGGCCGAGGTGGGTTCTGCAGTGACTACTGCGGAGGAGCTGTAAATCACCCGTCCGAGTCCTATCGATCATTTAGATTCGCTGAGCGCCACTCCAAACAGAACAGCTCGCGTATTTTAGGAGACGTTGGAGCTTGAAGAGAAAACAAGGTTATTTAAAGTGACTCCCAGAACGCGACTTTCGTTCCACGACTCCTTAAGCATCTGCGTCTCGGCTTCAGTTTAGCGCGCCCCGCCTTTGGTGTTTAAACCAGGCCAAATCCCGAGTGAAACTACCTGTTGGGGACCCAGTGCGGAGCAGCGCACTCCCGGCCGCGGGCGGCCCGAGGAGGGAGGGCGTGGAGGAGCCCGGGCCGGGCGGAGGAGGGCGCGCGGCGCACGGTGCCCCCAGGCTGCGCCGGCCGGGCTGCCGGGGTGGGCTGAGAGCCGCACCACGCCGTAAGTTCGGAAAGGCGAAGCAGGGCCCAGGTGCTCCTCCTCCACTTTAACACTAGGTCTCCGGCAGCTTCTGGGCTCCCGGCCCTACCTGCAAAACTGCAAAACCCAGCGCTTCTCCCTGAGCCTAAATTCACTTTATTATTTCAAATTCGGAAAACTCCGCGGATGCGAGGACGAGACGCAACACAGGGGCTGCCCACAGCTCCGGCGCCCGCCGAGGTGCAGGAGGGAAACCACTCTGGTCGAGCGAACGAACGACTGGAGCATTTTAAAGCCACCCAGCCGGCTGAGGGAGCGCGGCCAGCGAGGCCAGTTCGAGCGGTCTTTGGGAGGAAGGCTGGACGCTGGGGGCACGGGACTCGGTCTGCCCCCCGAAGCTGCGGAGAAGACAGTTTGGGCTGCGCCCTGGAGGAGCTGGGAGGTTCGCGGAGGTGCGCACAGCCCGGGGCGCGACCTACAACTTCTCACCGGCGCCCGGTCCCGCAGAGGCAGCGCGACAGTAAACTTGGGGACCCAGAGACGCAGGCGGGACAGTACTGGGCATTTCCCCAGATGCTGAAGGCGCTCCTAGGTTTGTCTCCGATGCGGATTTCTACATTTTGGTAGCAAACTCCACTTCGTTTTGGGAGCAACGAAAGTTAAGACAGGCCCTACCGGGGCCCCGCGTGAGGTCTGCAGCGCCCGAAAGATTCTGTGTGGCTGCGCCACGGCGGCTCTTAATTTCCTCGGAGCACGCGCTCCTGTTCTCCCTGGCCACAAAAGGGCTCAGATGAAAACGAAACGAGGACAAGTCTTAGGAAACTGCAGGGACGGCGGGTTGTCAGCCTCGTCTTCCGCAAAATGTTTCCTTTAGGCAGCCGAGACTGCGAGGCTCCTCGGGAAAACGAGAATTTACTAGTGAGAGTTTATGACACGGGACGGAGCTTGAGACCTCGAGCTAAAAGGTGGCTCAGGACGAGTCCCACGCCGCTGTCCCCTTTCCAAAATCATCCCCACCCTCAAATCGCACCCCCACCCCCAGTCCTTAGTGGCACTTCGTTTCCCTGTGTGCCTCCTTCCTGCGCCCAGTCCTCCAGGCTTTGGGCGGCCTGGGACCTCTCCGCGAGGCGGGGACTCTCCCAAACTCGCCCTCCGCTGGCGCACACGCGCGGGTGGGCTCTCCCCAGGCGGGTTGCTGAGCGGCCCCGCGACCCTCCCGGGCCTGGGAAACCCGGCGTATCTTACTATCGCTGAGCCACAGCGCTACTGCTTTATTTCAGTTCAATCCCAGGGGCACGGACCCAAGGATAACAAACAATGCTGCTTATTAGAGATACAAACGCGCGCAGAAAAGAACCGCGCAGTAAAGCAAGCACAGAGGCATTTTAACAAGTGGTCAGACATTCAAGGCTGCCTTTGAAAGTGACTTGTAAAATACAACGGAGGACTTTCCTCTAAAAACACAAAAATTTCAGAGTACAGGGTTTTGTTTTTTTTTTAAATCAAAGTATGACAGTCGAAGCTGTTCTTATTTATTTGGTTTTGCCTCTGAAGATCTGGCGGAGTTGTTACTACCTGCCCACGCATGGGTGCAATCTGCCTCCCCAGGCCAACCCTCAGATCTCAGGGCCTCAGGGAGGGAGAGGAGAGACGGAACTAAACAGAAAGAGACAGAGACAGAGAGACAGAGACACGTAGGTGGCCCTATACTATGATACCGTTATTCCAGATCCCTCAAGAATTGGAAATGCACCTCCTTTTTGGGGAGTGACCACATGAAGCTTGGTGAGAGATGCAGTTTTAACAGGCGCTGCCAGATAGTTCAGAGACATGAAAAACTACACACCCTCTTGTTAAATGTAAACGCAGAAACCTGAGGGTTGACCCGAAGAGCCATGCTCTGCTCCTTGGCCTCGGGAAAGGGTTCCCATCTGCTCGGAACGCTTTCCCCTTTATAATGTCAGAAAATCTTCCTGCCTGCAAATATTGGCAGGAAGCTGGTATGACAGGCGGTGCTGCTTTAAATAGGAAGGAGACCGTGGGGCAAAAAGAAAGTTGCTACCTTCCTACGGGGAGACTACCTGCTTCCCCTTCTCTAAAGGCCGAATTCTGGCAAAGGAGAGGACAAGGAAAATCTCCTCTTCCCAGAAATGTGGGAAATAAATCAGTTGTATTCCAGGAACAAATCTCTGATTGATTTTCAAGAACTGGGGCGCACAAAAACCAGGTCTTCCAAAACCAGCTGCCACGGGGAGGAAGAAGGGTTAGAGCCTGAACATTTGCACCTCCACTTTGCTGTTGTTCGCATGAAAATAGCTGATGAAAGAAGCCTTGGAGGTATTTTAGCCTAGTTCTTGTGAGTAGTAGGTTACTTTTGGTTTTGTCCAAAGCCCATTTATCCAGAAGCTCATTTATCTGCTCAGGGAGGGTCTAGTCTCAGCTTTGTGCCCACAGGGAGCTTGGCCAAGGATGCTTAGGACCTTGGATTATGCCCTTTCATCCCCTACATTCTCACCCAGGCCTTTGGGAAATCACGGTGCCAACTGCACCCAAAGAACAACCTAAACCACCTTTCCCCATCTCCTACCCTAAGCTGATGATGTCCTGCAGTCTTCACACATCATTTGTTTCCTAACCTTCTGTACTTGGTTTAAGCTGTCTCCAGCCTTTCTTGCCATCTTCAATGGCAACTTCTCCAAGAAGTGTTTCTGCTGGGGGAGTAGGAGCCTAATAGACTTTCTCTTGCTACAGCTGTAACAGTTGTGGAAGGGGCCTCAGGCAGTGGTGGTGATGATGCTATTGCTTTATCTTCCTATCACTTTCTAAACCAGATAACCAGTGTCTTGTCATTTTACAGATGAAGAATTTGAGGTGCAGAGAAAGAATCTGACTTTCTGAAGGGCATACAGGAAGCTCGTACAGGGTCTACAGCAGCCCCTGGGTCTCTTAGTCTAAAGTCTGATTGCTCCGCTTTGTATGCTAGCACAATAAACTACTATTTAGTGAGCATCAGCTGTGCACTGGGCCATGTGCTGGGCCAGATATGTTTAGAAGTCCTCCTCACCACCACTCTGATGAGTCTCATCAGCCCCTACAAAACCTTAAAAGTCAGTATAAAAGGAACATATACCTAAGTCAAAATACTTTAAGTAACACAAAAGAACATAAAATGAAAGTAAAAGTCTTCCCCACACTCCCTTTTCCAGAGTAACATTTAGGATTTTTATTTATGGAAGTGGGGGTCTACATATCTGATAGATGTTGCTATCTCGAGTGGGCAGAGTAAGACTCACAATCAGAGTAAGAAGCTATGGCTACCTGTCTGCAGACTCAGTCCTTCCTGTGACTCCATGTTAGCTAAGAGAAATGAGGGGAAAACAGAAGTGAGTGAGGAAAAGGTCAAAGAGAGGGTCAGGTCAGAGTGGACATCACCTTCTTTTCCTCTCCTCTTGCCTCATCCAAGATCCTGCTAATGCTGTGTGTTCTCAGGCAAACTGAGAGCACAGTCTTCCTTAGTGTATGTAACCTAATCACCATGGTAGCTGCGCGTTCCTTTCAGGCCTTGGTGCAGCTGGGCACGTGGCCCACTGTTCCCCCAGCACTGCCTTCACTCTGTATCAGGTCCGGGACTGGAGCTCACCTGTTAAGATTTGAATTTCCCTGTTTATCCCCAAGGATTGCAGCAAGACAGAGAGCAGACCAAGTACATTTGAAGCCTCTCCTATGCAAACACAGCAGCAGCTTTTCAAATGCCCCCATGGGACTTTGTGGCCCTTCAGCTTGAAGCAGTGGAGATTCAGGGTTCCTGGTAAAATGATGTGTTTTTGGTTTGCATTCTATGTGGGATTATGTTTACAGGGGGCAGGGTTATGGGGATATCAAAGCAGAAGAGGGTGCTTGTTTACATATCTGCAAAAGATGGGAGCACTGAGTCTTTGGAATCAGGAGACTTTGGCAAGTGTAGAGTAGGTTTCTTTGTTGGAAGCAGGTTGGTAGGGAGACAAGGAGCCAGTTATTCTGTATGGCATGCACAGGAAGTGGAATGGAGTAGCACGGGTGTGGTGAAAGATGCATAAGGCTGTCTCTTTGGTAGGTACCCAACTACCAGAGGTTTTGACTCAATTCAAGGGCAGACAGAAGGAGCCGAGAAGATGGCTTTAGGATACATAAGCTTCGCAAACCCACTGATTTGTTACTCTCTGAGAGTGGAAAGGGGAGAGATTTTAGAACAGCAGTTCTCCCAGGAAGCTCATCTTGCCTTTGATGGTTCTTCATTGTGAAAGAATTGCTAGCAACCTCCTTAACTTCGGGGCTTCCACATGAGGACTAATGATAGGCCTGGTCTCCTAGGCATTGCAGAGAAAGAGCTGGTCTGGGCTGGTGTCTCTCCCAGCTGCAACCTTGTAACATGTGCACCTCTGAGACTGAGGACAGAGACTATGAGTGCTGTGGAAAAGGACAGAGAAAATGGCTTTAATATGTCGAGGAGGGCTGGGGAGTGAACTGTTTGTAATGAGAAACTGTGAAAGAAGGGAAAGTCAGATTTACTTGAAGACCCTGCCAGACTTCAGAGCCTGCCTTCAATGTCTGTCAGGACAAAGGACACTGCGCCCCCTGGTGTCAGACTGGCAGCCAGTGCCCACTAGCTGCATGGAGACCTGTGGGCAGCGGGCAGCGAGACCAGGGGACCAGCTGGAGACGTCTATGGATCAGATGCCTTTTCTTCTGTTTGCTAAGGGAGTTGAAACTGAAATAGCCCTTGCTTTCTCAACTCTGGAATCTAAATAGAGATTCCCATATAGAGAGAGCACACACACAGACACAGACACACAGACACACACACAGACACACACACACACACACACACACACAGACAGTTTTTGCATGCAATTCAGGCTGGCAGAACAATATCTATTTAAAAGTAGCCCAGTGGGGTGAGAAGTACACAAGCCTAAAAGAAAAGACCTGCATTTTGAGTGGAATGCTGGTTTAGGGCAAGTCATTCAACATTTTAGAATCTCTCTCCTTGTCTTAAAGCCAAAGAGATTAGAGTAAGATGCTTTGATGGTATTTTCTAAACTTTAATATTGGTACTTATTCAATAATCATGCACACTCTTTTTTTCAGAACCTTGCAAATGTGACTTTAAAAAATTCATATGCAGGTGCAAATGTTATATATTTCAGCATGGTGAGTTTCCTGATTCTGAGCAAAGATTTTAAAACTGAAAAGTGTGCCTCTTTTCAGCACAGAAGCTCCCCTCTGCCTCCCCACCTTTGGTGGAGGGAGCTTTCTGCAGGAAAGCTGCAGAGTGAGTAGGACTTCAGTGTCTGCTGTTTCTTTTAAAAATAAAGCACTGAAGTGTTGTGCTGGAAATTCTGCTACGAAGTGTCATGTATGGTAGGTGTGAATATATGCTTCAATAGTTCCAGGCACAAGACCAAAATCTTCCCCCAAATTAGCAGAGTTTTAGCTATGATTTGGCTAACATTTTTCTACGAATAGATACGAAGCCCATTTGGGAGTGTAGTCTCTCCAAGGGGTTACCTCACTGGGTTTCCATTGAAATTTAGGGCCATCCCTTACACAGCCTGGTGACTAAAGTGAAGCATTGTGCTGGTGCCAAGAGTTTTCCTCTCCTGAAACCTTCGTATCTCATCTCTGCGGTGAGCAGTCAGTTATACCTCAAGGTGTTTTTTCATTGAGCGTCTGTATTGCACTTGAAGTGCTATCTATATGTAATAGGCACAGTTTTTTAAAATAAGGAAATAGATTAGTATGTAATAAAGCATCACATGAGCAGCAACCTTTCCTCACAGGTGTGGATAGAGTACACAACTATCATTCCATAGTAGTGTGACCATCCCAACATGCTGCCATGAGAGGTGAGCCAGAAGGGGGAAGAGCAGAAAAAATGAGATAGTCCATGGCAGCTAATGCCTGCCTCAGCAAGGGGAGAGACTGTGTCTTGGCAGCTCTTGAGGGGAGGGACGAGTGCAATGACTTGGAGCTGCAGTGACTTAAATCTGTGTTACGGACTGAACTGGGTCCCTCCAGAGTTCATACGTTGGAGTTCTAGCAACTGGTGCCTCAGAATATGACTTTATTTCAAGACAGGTTCTTTAAAGGGATAACTAGGTTATAAGGAGATAGGCCCTAGTCCAGTGCAGATGTGGGAGTCTTTATAAGAAAAGTTTAGGACACAAACAGGTCCAGAGCGAAGACCACATGAAGATACAGGGAAAGGTCAGCCAACAGCAAAGGCCTTAGAAGAAACAAAGCTTTCTGATACTTTGATCTCCGGTTGGAGCCTGAAGAATTGTGAGAAAATGAATTTCTTTTGTTTAAGCCAACCAGTCTGTGGCATTTTGTTATGAAAGATCTAATCAATGACTACAAGTTACTATACAGAACCAACCAATTATGCAGGACCACTTGGAAATACAGACCTTAGATCCCCAGCTTTTCTAGTCTAAGGATTTTTTTTTCTTTTTAAACATTGGAAACAGGGCTAGCTAACTTCCTAAGTATATCACCTGTGCAGTAAAACAGGATCTCATACTTAGAAGTGGCTCATGTTTTCTCTGTCTCTGTCTCTGTCTCTGTCTCTGTCTCTCTGTCTCTGTCTCTGTCTCTCTCTCTCTCTGTGTGTGTGTGTGTGTGTGTGTGTGTGTGTGTGTGTACTGGAGGGTGAATCCAGCAGTCCCTAAGCAACTAACATTCTCAGACCTTTTTTTTTTTATCATATTTTTGAGACGGGGCTTGCAGAGATGATCAGTCTGGCTTGAAACTTGTGATGCTTTTGCCTCAAATTTCCACATAGCCGGGAGTTATGGACGTGTTCTGCCACACCTAGCTCTCTGTTTGTTTTCATACTCTACTATCATTCTGACATTCTTACATTTTCAAAAGGAGACCTGCTTTTTCATGTTGCACTCATCTCTAGTAACTAAAATCAGTCCTGGCTGACAAATAAATATTGTATGTTATAGTTTATATCTAGATATCTCCCCAGAGTTTCATGCACTGAGAGGCAGGGCTTTTGAAAGGTGATTGGATATGGGGTGCTAACGCTGCTGGCTGTCAGGAGGTTATTCTGGTCAGAAGAGGTGGTCACCAAGAGCATATCCTGGAAGGGTGTCTATCCCTCCCTCTGCCCTTTCTTCTCTCTCTGCTTTCTTTCTTTTTTTTTTCTTTTTCCTTTTTATTGGTACCGGGGATCGAACTCACGACTGCCTGCTTGCAAGGCAGGCGCTTATGCCGCTGAGCTAAATCCCCAGCCCCTCTCTCTCTGCTTTCTGTCCACTCATTATGGTAAGTCTCATCCAGTCCCTTCCACATGCCAACAACCAAAAAGCAAGGAGCCAACTAAACCGCTTTCCCTTTAATTTGTTGGTGTTGGTTATTGAGCTCCAGCAATTAGAAAGTGACTAAGGCGACATGCATGTTGAGTTTATGGGCGTCCAAACAAAATGTGCCTAGAGGTAGAAGTAGCAAGGAACACTGCATGGAATTCTCTATTGGTAACTGGTTCAAGACTTCTTATTCCTTGCAAATCACTGGGAAAGAAATCGTGATATCTAGAAGGTTTCCAGGGGTGAAAAAGCCACAGATATTCCCTAGATACCTGAGAAAAGCCCAAATGATTCCCTAGTCACCCACTAAGATTCCACATGGCCTCATGTGATGCTGACCAAGACTTTTACTTTAAATTGAGCACTGAGGATGTCACAGTATGAATATAGTGAGGAAAGGCCCAACGCAGGAACTAAATGGTTGGGGCCAGGTATAGACTTGCCCTGAATGTGGTAGCTTCTGGAATCTCACTCAGGCTCATCCATCCAGGCCAGGAACTGAGCTTTTGGACACCAGAGCTGAGGGTGCTAACTAGGAAAATGAGCAAGATGTTCCGGGGCGGTGCTTCCTCATGGAACAACAAGAACAGCAAAACACAGCAGCAGACAGATTGGCCTCCAGTTTCCCTTTAGAGTTTGTAAGTGGGACTTTTCTCCTGTGTTGAACTAGCCCTAGGGTTCTTAGGAGGTTCTCATTTGAGGCTGGAGAGTGAAAGCTGGATTGTCAGCTTGAGAATCTCGGTAGTCTTGAGCGTTTAATTTTAAATAAGTGATATCCTACCATTACGTGGCGCATGGCCTACTAGTTGATGCTAATTTGGAAGGGAAAGCTCTGCTCTTGGTGAAAGGAACAGCAGTCGTCAGTGAGTAGAGTCTTGGGGATATCATGAGGAGGTCCTGTTTTTAAGGATATACATTGATTTATAGAAGCTCACTGAAAAATATAGTGGAATGTTTGGTCAGGAAGTCTGCTTTTATAGTTCTATTTCTGCCCAGTACTAACTGAAGAGTGTAAATTTTAAAAGAAGCCATTTCTTATGCATATTATGCAAACTCCCTTAGGAGAGTGAGTGAAAGACTGTTCAAGACACTGCATTTCTTGGAAGAAAACTGCTACATAAATTAATATAGAGCCCTCTGTTTTATTGCAGGCCTGCAGGACACATGGAAGGACTTTCCCAAGTCATGCTCCAGAGAAAAGAAAATTCTCCACAGTTCCATAATCAGAGAAGCTAATCTTTCCCCTTCTTTTCTACAAGTTTTCCAAATCTTATAACTCTTATTTCCAGATTAGAAAATAAGATTCCCTGTTCATTATCCCTCGTCCTTTGCATGTGGAAAGCCCCCAAGGGAGCACTGTAGTGCACTGTGAGCCCTTTGTGGCAAAGCCCAGGCATAGACAACTCCAGAGAAAATTCACTGCTCTGCAGTCTGCAAGCAAATCAGGTCAGCTCTCACTTCCCCGTGATGGACATGGTTCTCCTCCCTACAAGAAACAGTAGGGCCGGGGCTGGTGTCACAACAGTTAAGAAGTTTGAAATGCAATGTGTGGCCTTCTGAGTTCAGTTCTGATAGTTCCCTTAATCATATAGAAAATAGAAAAATTATCTAAAAAATTTAGCTCAAAAGCCACTGATTCAAGAAAAACAGAAATTTATGTCCACATAAAAGCTTGTTTTCATAACAGCCAAAAAAGGGAAAAGAATTTCAATGCTTGTCAGCTGATGAATGTGGCATATTAATATACTAGAATATTATTCAGCAAGCAAAAGAAATGAAATCTTGGGGCTGGGGATTTAGCTCAGAGGCATAAGTGCCTGCCTTGCAAGTGTGTAGTTATGAGTTCGATCCCCAGTACTGATAAAAAAAGAAAAAGACAAAAGAAAAGAAAAAGAAATGAAATCTTGATGCATGTGACAATATGGATGAACCTTAAAAAGCATCACACTAAGCCAAAAAAACTTGGGGAAAGGACGGGGAGTGTTGGAGGGTGACAGAAAAGCAGAGCAGTTTCTTTTTGGACTGATGAAAGTGTTCTAAAATTGAGATGTTGCCTGTGTAACTTGGTGAGTACATTAAAAACAAGTGAATTTTGTACCTTAAATGGATGAATTGCATTTTTTGTGAATTATATCTCAACAGACCTGTTAGTATTCTTTAAATTTCTCTTTTCTTGAGCCTATTATCTTGGGATGAATGTGACCAGGCTTGGAAAACAAATTTTTATAAGATAACTAAAATGAGAATGTGGGGGCTGGGGATTTAGCTCAGTGGCATAAGCGTCTGCCTTGCAAGCAGGCAGTTGTGAGTTTGATCCCCGGTACCAATAAAAATGAAAAAGACAAAAAAAAAAAATGAGAATGCGAAAAAATAATGATTTTCCTTAGGTAGAAAGACTGATCTGCAGGGTCATGCATACACACAATATAGATACTGTGTTTTGAATTATGCTGATTTTCCCCCTCAGTCTGTAAGCATTAATATATGTATAATCAATGATACTGAGGTTGGTTTTTTTTTCCAAATTTTTCTTTTTATTTTAGGTGAGTGATCCAACTTTCTGTTAAGGAAACACCAACCATATTTTCAGTTCAGATGTGTGGATACTACTGACCGTAAATCCTAGGCTCTATGATGCAGGCCTTATTAACTGGCATATTTTATCCAGTTCCTACCAGCACACCTAATTCATCCATTGCTTAACTTTCAGAAATTTTGTGAACCAGTTGTTAAGCCCAATCATTAAATTTAAAGCATATAAACATAATTAAGTGAATCATATTAAAACTGAAGGAAACATTCAAATCTTATTACTTAGTAGTTATTTGGTTACATTTTACTACTGTCTGGTGTCTTAAGGTTATTTGTACCTATTGGATCTGTACAGTGGAAATACCGTATAGTGATGTGCCACCGTGTATCTCTTCACAAACCCATGTTTAATGACTTGTTTTTGGCAGCTTGAAATTGGCCATGGTTGTGGTACTTACATCATATTAACTGGCTAATGTTATTTAGGTTTCGCTTTTCCTGACAAAGAGATTGTTAAATATTTACCAGCTGCAGTGGATTGAATAGTGGCCCCTCAAAACATAGCCCAGTCTCTGGAAACTTGTTTTATTTATTTATTTATTTATTTTTGTTTTTGTTTGTTTGTTTTTGAATCTTTGAATCTTTGAAATTTGTGAATGTAACCATATTTGGAATAAAAGGTGCTGGCAGCCATAATCAAATTAAGGATCTCGAGATGAAATCATCCTGATTTCTCCCAGGAAGCCCTAAATACAGTCATGTGTGCCCTTACAGAAAAGAGGCAGAGGCTGATGTGACACAGCACACAGAGGAAACGAGGAAGTGATGTGACCACAGAGGCAGAGGTTCCAGCGATGTGGCCACAAACCAAGGAATTCTTGCAGCCACCAAAAGCTGGAAGAGACAGAAACAGTCTTCTCCAGAGCTGCTGGAGGTAGCATGGCCCTGCTGATACCTTGAATCAGTGTCTAGAAATGTAAAAGAATAGATTGCTGTTGTTTAAACTACCTGGTTTTTGGTGATTTCTTATGGTAACCACAGAAAGTCATAGCCCTGCTGTGCGTGCAGGGATGGGTATGAGACCCAAGCCTACACAATGGGAAGTCAGCTTCTATTGTAGAACAGACTCTCAGATATTAGGCTTCATTCCTTGCCACTTTATATACACAATTAAAGCAGCACAGAAAGAGCTGAAGTATGAGGCTAAGAGGAGACATTCCTGTCAATGTTGTTTGAGAAACTGAATCTTTCCCACCACTGGAGTTTCTTACTTATATATAGCAATTAATTTCATTTTAAACCACATTGCTAACTGGATTATGCACATTAATTTTTGAAATTGCTCATTTACAAAATTATAAGTACATAACTTACTATAATTTATCAGCTACTATTTAAACTAGGCATAACTGTTAAAGACATCGGTAAAGGGGCTAGGGGTTTAGCTCAGCGGCATAAGCGCCTGCCTTGAAAGCAGGCAGTCGTGAGTTCGATCCCCGGTACCGATAAAAAGGAAAAAGACCAAAAAAAAAAAAAAAAAAAAAAAAAAAAAAAAAAAAAAAAAAGACAATCGGTAAAATATATGCCAGTTACTGAAAATCTGATCCCTACCTCAATTCAGTATGCTTACTTGTTCCACAAACAATGAACCTCACTCCTCCTAAAGTATTTTTTCAGGTAGATATCTGTCCATTTCAGAGTTTACAACTTATATTCTAGTGAGGAGTTTAGCATGCTTTACATTATCGAGGTCACTAGTGGCCTTCACTTTCGTTATATAGTTCATAATTTTCTGGAACATTTTATTTTGTTTTTTTGGAATCAGGAATCGAACTCAGGATTTCACACTTGCTAGACAGGTGTCATGCCACAGAACTGTACCCTGACACTGAACCATTTTAAATTCATGTAATGTCATTATTTTTCCTAAAAAGAATGTGTTTGATGCACAATTTAAATACTTAAAATTCTTTAAGAGATAACATTTAAGTATATTCACAAATCACACAAAAAATCTTTGGCAAATTAGGTTGGAAAAATATTTTGTAGTGTTGTGCAATGATACTGTAATTTTTATAATGTTGTACCTTTGGGGAATTATTTGTAGATGAACATTTCTGTGAAAAGAGCATGTCACAGAAATTCTGAAAAGAGCATGTCACATTATTTTGAACTGTTTTAAAAATGAAAATAAAATTCTTTTACCTTTGGTTTTGCTATTGTGAGTTGTTTTTCCAGGTTTGAGAGGTTTCAAGTTAATTTTGCTGTCTGTAATCTTTCTGTCTTCCAGTTTGAAATACCTTTACTTTTTGATGAACACATTTTGGATGAATTCCCAGTCAACTTTCTAATATGATTAAATGCAGATAAGTTTAACTCAGATGATATTTATGGTCAGTTTTTTGATACTTGGCAAACTGGAAGCCCAACTGTCAGAATTAAAACACACACATACATATACACAAAACTCTAGAAGTTATGTTTGTTGTTAAGAGTTGCTTATAAATACTGACACCATTACCATAGTAATCTAACACTCACTGGTCTTGAATTAAAACGAGAATGAACTTTGAAATACACAGTCAAATATTGTGTTACTATTTAGTACTTTCATTTTTGCTAATACTATTGTTAATAGAGAATTATTTTGGATATTCTCAGTGATGAACAAGTAAACTACACACACACACACACACACACACACACACACACATACACACACACATACATTATACATAAATGATTTCATTAAGGATCTAGAGCCTACTTTGACCAAATAGTAGCATTAAGTCAGCTGTATTCTCTTTGTAGTCTAGAGCAGTTCTCTTTGCTGTACAGTAGCAACCATCAAATAGCATTGCTCATCAAAAAAGACAATCTTCTCTTTTAGGAGATTAGGATCATTCAATATGGAAGTTAAAAGAAAACACAAGAAAATTAAAACTTAGTTTGAAAATTCCATGCTTTTATAGCCCATTAGAGCCTAAAGTAAAAATTAGGAGCACATTGGATTTTCTAAAGACAGATTCAGAATAAATGTTTACAGGAAAGACAAAGGTGCTACCTTATTTCCATCGACAAAACCAACTTCTAAATGGTACTCATTCTTGATAATGCTTCAGGAAACTCTCTAAAGTTTGTTTTTTTGCTAAAGCTAAACAAACAAACAAACAAACAAAAAACCCCCAAAAAACCTCACTTCCAAAGTAGAAATAGAAAAAACAGGAAAAAATCCATGATTTGTTTCTTCATGGCAACTTTATGCCAGAGATAGAGGGTTTCTTTACACTAAATTGTTTTGTTCCTGGGGAAACCACTGATAGAAATCGAGGTGAATGGTATGATTAAGCAGCTCCAACCCTAAAATGCTGTTTCCTTTGTTTTAAGTCAAGTCCTTCAGCATTTGCCCAGGAACTGGAGGAGAGGAACAGCTTAGGAGTTAGCTCCAAAGACGTTTCAAAGCTGCCTAGACAAAGGCTTGGAATGACAACAATAGTGAACCATCCTGCCTTGGACCCAAATCGAGATTGATGACCTAATATATCTTTCCCAACACCAACTGCTATAGTTTTATGAGCATCAAGACCTGGGTGTCTGCCATCATCAACAAACAGCTTCTCCACAGCACTTCCATCCACAGAAACTCAAGTATCCGTAAAGAGCTGGGAACTAGCCGTCACCACAGGCCACCACACGTGAGACTTGAGATGGAAACTCTGTTTCAGCAGGATGATTCTTAAAGAAAAAGAAGGGTACCTGTTACTTTCCTAGGATATCTTGCTTTCAGAATTCTGAGCCAGAGGGGCAAAGTTTTCCTGAAACTCACACTGAAGCCAGTGACATTCAGATGAAGCCTTTGTGCTTCACAAGGCCTTTTTGAAACCTTGTGCCAAGTTTTGCATTTGTGATTTTCCCCTTAATTGTACAAGCTAGAGACCACTTCCAAGGGAAATTGATAGAAATATCGTACCAAATTTTATTTTGATAAAAGGGTAATATTTAAACAGAAACTCCTCTTCATCTTTATAGACACATTGCCCCTCCTGTCAACTCACCTTTTGGACTAAGGCTAGTTTGAGTCTTTGATTGTCAGTGGTCCTTTTTTAACTGTAGCAGTGGTTTAAAAACTGGCCACGGTTTAAACTTATTACTTCACTGTAGACTAATTACTACAGTTTCCTATCGATTTAAAGACTGGGAGAATTTCCATGCACGGTCCTCAATTTTGCCACGCGGTATTACCATTCCAATGTCGGCTAAGCTCTGTTGTATAGTGAAGTTCGTGGATTTAGACTAGGCTTCTGCACTTTCCTGTGGGACTCTCAGAGGACCAAGTTGTAGAAATATTGTTGTTCTTATTGTAAAGGTAATAGCACATACATATACATACATCTGCATGCATAAATAACTGGGACTATTATAGCCAGCATAGAAAGTGAAAATCTTCCATAATCTCACATAGCTGAGAAAAACCATTCACTTTTTTCCAAGCCATATATTAGCATTTACTATTTCACGAAAAGGGATTATACTCTAACAACCCAGAAGCATGTTTTCTAGCTTGCAGTACGTCTTAGACATCTTTCCATGTCAGTCTGTAAAAAGTGGCTCCATGGTCCTGTGTTGTATGCTGAACCATACTTTCCTTAACCAATTGCCTGTTAATGTACATTTGGATTCTTTCCAATTTTCCCTCTAACAAATTTTTTCCAAACATCGCTGTGTACTTAAACATCTTTCAGCAGTTTGGGGAGTATTTTTCTATGATGAATTCCCAGAAGGTGAATTATTATTGGGTCAAGAGTTTGAACATTTCATTTTAATAGCTATTGTCAAATTGTCCTCCAATAATTTTACACCCATTTACACCCTAAGCCACAGTGTAAGAAAGGCCTTGTTCCCCCAACTCTTTACGGATACTAAAATCATGCAGTTTTATCTGACGTGAATTAAGAAGTTCAGCCTGTGAGGTTTTTTCCTTTTGTTAAAAGCTAACAAAGCAACCAAAAGTTCCCCCTTTCCCTTGGTGAACTCTGCACTTCGGGTAAGCCAACTACCTAGACATATATCAGTTAGTTGGAAAGGAAAACAACCCAATGCGGCGTCTAGATGACTTTATTAAAGATAACTTGTCAGTGAGTATGTAAGAAACTGTGTTAGGATATTTAATAACCTAATTATGAAAAAAATATAAATGATCCAATTTTAAGCAGTTTTATAAGTGTAATTAATGCATATTAATAATACAGAACAACAGTTTCATCGTGACATCTCCATCTATTCATTTACTGGGATGTGACCATATCTCCCCTGTCCTTTCTTGCTTCCTCTTACCTCTCCCAACACTGTTGTTTTAAAATAAACAACACAGCTGGGCATGGTGGCTCATGCCTGTAATCCCAGCACTGGGGAGGCTGAGGTGGGAGGATCCTTGTGAGTTCAAGACCAGCCTGAGCTACAAAGTGAGCTCAAGCCCAGCCTGAATTGCATAGCGAGACCCCGTCTCAAAAAAGACTCCCCTCCCCAAATAAAATTAGGTCAGGATTATCTGGTGGTGAAACACTATTCTGCTTAAATGGTTATGTTTTGATCTGTGCTGTTTCGTTGTTATGCCCTCTTTTATCTCAATCTCCACTCCATTATTTACTTTTTTATTTTTATCCTTTTAATTAAAGGAAAAAAAATAGCAGGATATATTATAGTAACCCACTTTGACTTTCCATTACCTCGATTTAAAGCCCTGTATTACTCTCACCATCTGGTTTTTAACTGATGTTCCCCCATTCTGTTTTGCTGGATAGTATCAGGTTCGAAAATTTAGGCATCAGCTGTGAAGATAATGAGATTCATTATGACGCCCATTCTCATTGACTTTTATCTATTTTTGAAGACCTACAATGTCTCCAATGTTTTGGTTTTGTCGGTTTTATTCTTTACAGTTTTGTTCAATTGTATTGTAACTAACAATATAGGCAATTCTATTAGAGATAGCGGGAGGCATTATGGTAACCATTGTTGATCACCTTGTATTATGTTTTCACATTATCTATTATGTCCACCCTTTTGACTTGACCGATTCTGTTCTGTTATGTCACATTTGGTTTTACTCTCTTCCAAAAAAGTAATAAGAACCATGGGAGCAATGAAACCCAAAATGTGTAATAGTCATTGTACAAAAGAGAGGAAAAGAAAGTGCTCTGTACTATATAACTGCATGTATATTTAAGTGTATAAGATAGAAAATGATATCACAGAGTTTTATTGGATCATTGAACAGAACTGTTTGCAGTATCATTGATGGAATGTCCACTTTACAAGCTTTAATTTTGTGACTTGAACAATTATTTCTAAGATGACAATATGTAATCCATTAACTAGTAATTTCCTACTGTTCATTTTTTTTCTGCAAATCTGTATAACTTGTACCCTTTCTCTGCTTTTTTTCTTTTCTCCTTAAATAAAATTAAAAAAAAAAATTAAAAAAAAAAAAAAAAAAGACTCCCCTCCCCAAATAAAATAAACAACACATTTAATCTAGGAGCATCAGAATTTTTACATTTGCATTTCTCATATTTCCTTGCTCATTTATTCAATTAAGTAGCTTGAACAATAAAAAGATATTTTTCAAAGGTACATCAAAAGTGACCCTATGCCCCTACTTAAGGAAGAATAACCTTTGCCAACACCCAGTCTTATGAGGTCTGTTTTGATAATTACTATTGTTAATATCTTTAGAATCAGGGCCATTGCAAATAGACCAAGAAGACATTTAAAGGTTCATCGAATCAAATGATGGTTAAACTGCTCCATGAAGCCTTGGGGTTGCTCAGGGGGGTGGAATGATGATGGGGGAACAAGAAAGCAGAGGGTTAAAGGTTTGTGTTCTTCCAACTCGAAGGCCTCCATGGTAGCCCCACTCTTATGTGGTGTCTTGTATAGTATGTTGTCTGGAGCAAGTTAATTTCATATTTTCTTCATGTGTAAAATATAGTAACAGTGCCTATTTTAGAGTGGTCAAGGTTAAATTAAACAGTATTACTTTGCACAAGCTGAAGACTCAGTAAATATTTGCTATTTTATTATTTAGATTTTACTTTGAGAAAAGATTTTGCAGCTAAAATGTGAATTTCCAAATCAATTTATTTTTTGGTTGTCTTTGAAATAAGACAATTGATTCAGAGTTGAATTTTGTTTCCTGTTTCCAATCCAA